TCCATTCATCGAGACATTTCCAACAAAATAAGGAGGCACTCACAGCTTTGACAAATAAAAATTATTCAGCTGTGTCACGATTTACACTTACATCTTTGTCACCATCAGTCATTTCTCTCTGGTTTAAGGTGATTTAAAAAAAACCTCCAAAGAAACATGTCGTTTGGCTTTGGCTTTCAACCACCTCATTACATTTTGTCAACTTCAGGAGAAGATCCAGTCCCTGCTGAATCAAATCTGGGCGCTTGTCTCCTGTTAGGGAAACATTACTCCTGATTTTCGGTCTCAAACCTGAGAACAAAGCAGAGTGATATTCTTCAAGGTCAGGCGTGAACTGAGAGGAAATTAATGACAACTCTGACGGGGCGAGAGAAGCCTTGGATGCTTCTCTGTTTGGCTCTTTATTACAGAAACTTTATTTCCCATCCATCCCTGTACATCCCGTCTGCGTTACCGCTGACCCGCTCGGCAGCCGAGCCGGTGAGATGCCAGAGAGAGGAATCCTGCCAGAATTATGGATCGGGGCCCACAGCGGGGCATGTTTGTTATGCAGGAAGCTCCTCTAAGTGAAACCTTGGGATGAAGATTAGCTTGGAAACAAATCACAGCTTGTCCGCCCTGCGGGTGGTGTCTAATGGGAGAAATGATTCAACCTGGATGCTGCGTAAATCGAGCCCACGCTGCGAGGAGCACGTTTCCGTTACTCAATCCCACAAAAATTTCACAGTGAACAAGTAATAGCGTGACACGGCATGATCACATAGATCTTCATCTTTTCAAAAAAAAAAAAAAACAACATTTTCAGTTACATTTAGACCCCACCTTCTTTTTTCATTGTTGCACAGATGCATCTGTAACAGGCGTACCTGGTATTGTGACCGGCCCCCTGGCTATTTGTCAGCACATGAAGGCATCAGTCACAACTATTTGGCTATGCAGCACATAATTCAGAGCTCCGTTATACAGACGTCCACTGAGTCCAGTCATCCATCAGACTGCCTTTTGCCAAGTCAACAGATTCTCGTGGCGGTGGGCGGTCAGGGAAAAGGCCTCTCAGGTTGTGTTTCAGCTTTAGCTGTGTGTGTGTGTTTGGGTTTTCGCTGGGTGTAAAGTATAGCTCTTTACGGCAGCAGTAAACTATGTCACAGACCAATATAGCCATCTATTCCTGCAGGACTCCTGATTGTTCCAACATGGGAAATCTCAGCTTTGTTCAATTAAGATTAAGCCTACGCTAAGGAGGTCGTGGTTTTTGGTTTGCGTACATGCAAGTCATTCTGCCTGTATACACGATAGCTCTTAAACTTTTGAACAAATTGCATAAAATCTTTGTAGGGGTGTAGAGTGAGCTTATGTTCACAGTCCATTACAAGTTAGCTTAAATTCAACAAAGGAGATTCAAAGGAGCTTTCTTTGCAAGCTCCTTTGACTAAATTCAACAAGGTATACAAGGTCAACTTAATGATTTATTGGTTAAAAACTGTCAACAAGCCTTATAGCTTAGACACTATGATTGAAGAAGTGTGGTGTGTGCTGTCCATATATGGAAAGTACCATATATCATGCCGCATTTGACCTCTGACCTCCCTTTAAGGTCAACAGATATATTTGAAGGTCAAATTGATTAAATAGTCCTATAGGAGCAAATAACAAAACCCTACACATTGCTTTAGTTTTTAACTACACTAAAAACATCTTGAAGCACAAAGAAAACAAAATGAATATATAAAATAGAACATTATTACCTTATAAGTAAATACTGCACAGGGAGAATCCGCTGCCTTGGCGGATGTTAGCACCCTCTGAGTGCTTCTTGTTTATAACCTGGCCAGAACGCCTTCCAACATCAACTCATCTGATAATATCTAACTATTAATCAGCTGCCCTAAAGGTGGACCTATTACGCCTGCCTTTTTATTTCCAGACACATAAATACTGCTGCGGTGCTAAACATGTTTAAACACCGAGGTTAGTATATGTGAAAGTAATCCCAGTAAGCCAAAAGCTCAGGCTTAAGACAGTTTTTATCCTACTCATTGATCTATGTGATGTCAAGGAGAAGAGATATCCCTATTATGGTTATCACAGCTCTGGCTGTGAGCACAGAAGCTCCACCCACCAGCAAACCTGTTTATGAAGGGCAGCCAATCAGAGGAAAGTTTTCTCAAAGAGGATCTATAGTTTGTTTCAGACACCAGAAGAGTCTCTTCCACTTACTAGAGCACCTACTCCACTTGGTTTCGTTCTTTTTCCATTACAATTGAGTACCACCAAATGTGCATGACGCCACATTTTCTACTCAGCTCGCTTGGAACACCGGCCGTTACCAGGTACTATCACCTAATGGAAAACCCTAAACACTAAGTCGAGTCGAGCCGACTACATACTAATGGAAAGGGGCTTTAAGAGGCTCCAACACGATTCAATATCAGGTAAATAAGGATTATTTTGAACTGTGAATCATGCAAAGCTACTCTTGTAGAGTCCAGGGTATAAACATAAAATGAAGTGAGTATAATAGGTCCACTTTGATATCCAGGATTTGAGGCTGTCAACATCTAATTAGATTTTTATTAATCCAAGCAGATTGTTGTGGTCTGCAGCAGATGTCATATAATCTCATTAATAAAGTGAATTCCAAAAAAGTCCCCTAACACACACACACACACACACACACACACACACACACACACACATTTCCAAAGACAAATGATATGAATATGAAACTACAATATTTTTTTTATTTTACACCTTCAGCCTGCCAAGCTAAGGTAGTGCTGATAAAGCTACTTTCAGCTGCTGTTAGTCACCGGGAGTCACCTCCGGGTGATTTGTGTCTCTCCTGGGACTGAACCAGGCATCTCACTCATTAGACAAATGCGTAAACCTCTACACTATAGAACCACTTAGGTTAGGCTGGTTATGACCAGAAAAAAAAACAACAAAGAAAAATACTGACAGCTTTGACTATCAACAAGGCTGAAATAACATCCTTCCCAGGGTAACAGCTGCATGACGTTCTGTGTTTTTATTCTAAGGTCAGCCTGGGCTGACAAATGGTAAAGGCCCTGCTTCTTACATAGCACGTTTCTACTCTGTGTGAGCACTTCTAAAACAACATCACTCATTTACCCACTCACACACTGGAAGAGCCAGAGATCGAACCACCAGCCGTCGGATAAATAGATCACCTCCTCTAGTCCGTAACACAAAAGAGACGTGACCACAGAGCACATGCCCTAAAACACGTGACCAGGATACACACACAATGATCAGTATATTACTCAGTTTCACAAAGCAAAGGCGACGCACTCAAATGATGGTTCTCTGCCCAGAAATCGAAGCAGAAAATATTCAGGTGGCTTCATAAGTCGATCCACTCATTGGTAAACCTGCTGCTCACAAGTGGAATTGGAGCTGACTTCAAAAAACCCACAGATGTTCGAACTGCTGTCACGCAAGTGTTAAAAAAAAAAAAAAAAAAAAAAACACCTCTCATTTGAGAAGGTGAAATGGAATTTTTGCCTGAAAATACGTTTTCAATTTTTAATTTACAACCCTTAAGTGAGGATTTGCTGGTAACCAACAGCACTGGGATGTTACATGGGCCATATTTTACCGTCTGAACAACTGACTGATGAAGGTTGCAGTTGTGGGACAGGGTCCCTTGTCGTGGGCTAGACTTTCTAAAAACCAGCTCAGAGGAGGTGTGGGAGTCTTGCTCCCTCTCAGACCACTTAAACTTAAAAATAGTGAAAAGTTATTACAGGTTTCTTTGTGTAAGGATGCCAAAGAGATTTTTCCTTCACCAGTTTAAACAGTAAGCTGTGCCTGAGCCAGCCCATGCGCCATCAGGACCCCCAAACCGCCTCGCCTGGATTGAATTCATTCCTGCTATCACCTCTGCCACAGAATTACACCTGTGTTTTTCCCTGCTGCCACATGTCAAAAGGTCCCCCGGCTGCCTTCCCTTCAAATAGATGTGGTGTGAACCCCTGAGGTACGCTGGCTGCACTCTCACAGTGTCTGCACAGCTTTAAAAAAAAAAATCCCCAAAGTGGAAGCACCAGAGAGATAATCCTCCAATGTCCCAGATCTTTACTGGGACTGAGCCCCTGGTGGGAGCCAGCGAGGGAAATTGAAGGCAGCGGCGGCCACGTTTCAATCACAGGAAAGAGTTTGGTGATGGGGGCATGAGAGGATTTGCAGCAGTGCGGTGTCCCCCATGAATACAAAATATTACTAAGAAGTACTTTAAGCAAAGAGCTGCTTTCTGCCCTGTGAACACTGGGATATATTCCTCACTCACCGCCCTGGCCTTACAGTCTGCGTCCAGCACCATCACGACCCAGGCACAGTTTACAGTCACATCTTTCTAAATTAGCTGATGATTCCTCTGACAGAGAGCTGGGGGATTTACACATATAAGTCATTTCCCAGGGAGAAGAAATCTCTGATTATCTGTGTGTGATTTTTTTTAAAGTGAGGAAACTTGGATTTCTACCCGGACTTCTGAAAACTCTGAAGATCAATTTTCATCACTTGCATCAACTCTAACAATGGAAAGGCCAAATCATCAGCACAGAGAATACCTGTCAGGTTAACCTCCAATGAAAACAATACTGTGTAAACACCATTATGCATCAAGTCAGGGACAAAAAGCGCCCCAGTCTTCTGTCTCACACTGCACTGCATAAAATGAGATGAGAGGTTGACTCAATTTGCATGCACTGCTTTTACTGCACATACTCAGAGTCGTTCGATATTTTTGCCTCACAGTCATGCAAAGTTCAGCAGGACAGCTCCCAGATACGAAAACACGTCCTGACTGTGAACCTTTGTCTGGACCATGTGAAGCATATGTGCTGGAAGCTCTGATTGACCCAAATGCAAAACAATGGTGATGCCCACATCTATACAGGGACCTCACTCTCACACACAAGCCTGCAGTGGTCCCTGACAGGACGGGATCAGAGGCTCGGAGGGCCCCGTAAACTTACCGAGCTTTCCCCGGGACTCCTCCAGCTTCTGGATCTGGTTCTCCAGGAAGAACATGGCCACTGCGAACGCCAGCAGCGCCAGAAGCTGCAACTTGGGCGGCATCATGACTCTGAGCAGCCCCATCAAATCATCCAGAGAGAGATGATGGTCAGTCCATGCTCAGAGGAAGAGGAGGAGACACCGAAAACACACACACAGCAGCGACGATGGTGGTTACAAAGCGGCTGAGAGTGTGTGCATGGCCCTCTCTCTCTCTCTCTCTCCCTCCGTGTGTGGATATCTCCCAGCGTTCAGATCCTGTGGTTACCTCAAACGCGACGTGTTCAAACTCGGCTTGGTTATTTCATTCTGTTAAATCTCGACAGAGCGGGAGGAGGGGTCGTGGAGCCTTAGAGATTTCTCCAGAGTACGTATTTGTCCCTCCGGGATTTGTTCGCGACGGTACCAGCCGCTGTCGCCTGCGTCCCCCACACAGAGCTGTCCCGTCCCATCCAGTGTGTTCACAGCCGCACCACGGACACACTGTTACTACCACTCAGGCCATTGGGTGTATTAACAGTCCACCACACAGCAGAGATCTCCCATTCGTCGACTCTCTCTGCCTTTTCCTCTCGGATTGGACCGTTTTCCGTTGTGGGACCCGGAATTGGACACCAGGGGTCGCACTTCCATTAGCAACCATGAAATGACCGAGGCGAGGAAGAATTTTTTTAGGCTGGCTTGGTTTATGCCAAAATACAAAAAAGCATAAAATTAAAAAGAAATATTATTTTTACTTCAAATATTTACACAATATGCTTACTAAGTTTTTGTGTAGGTATTTTATCATTAAAGGTTAAAAATGATAAATAAAAGTCAGAAATGATTATCACTAACGTTTGTCGGACAGGCGCGACCACGGACCGACCTTCAGTGGAATAAAGAGGCCCTAATAGTAGTTTTCGCTAACAAAGCAGGCTCCAAAATGTCGGGAGAGGTGTATCTCCTGTGGCTCCTGTCGCTGTTACAGACGGTGAGTTTATTAACTGTGAGAAATGGCAGCGCTGGCCGCTGTCACAGCTGCTTACAGTGAGTGTGAGCGGCTGCGGGGCTGTTTGCTGGCGATCTTTAGGTTCAGCTTTTAATGAGCCACATCCTGCTGCACCCGGAGCTTCAAACTGACGTGGCTTATCCTGAAAACAGCACCGAGTCCTGGGGGAAGTGATACCTTTATAATGTGCTTGTTAGATTTTTGCTACTTATTATGTAGTTACTTTTTCGAGTCTTGTGTATTTTAACGAGAAAGTCGATGACAAAGAGAAGACTTCCGGTGTACTAAATTTACTGTACCTGAGCGCTTCTCAGTGCCGGTGCCGTGCTGAAAAGTGATTGGTAGTATCTAAACTGTTGTAAATGATTTATTTTCTATCAAACATACATCTTATAAATGATATCCAGTCGTTTTGAGCTACAAGGAATATTTCTGTCACAAGGTAGAATCTGCAAGTTTTTATGTGCCCTTTATTTATTTAGGTAAAAAAAAAGCTTCATTGACATTTGCTGTCTTTTTCTTTGTAGAGAGTGAGATGTAGCCAAGATGGCAGCACAAATAGCAAGAAATATAACATCATATTTCTATAACGATATTAAAAATGACTGAATTGGTTATAATGTAGATCATAGAGTGGGTACAATAAAGCCGGGTCATAAAGATGCTTGTGGAACAGTTCATTTTATATATAACTTCCTTCATAAACCCTGTTGACTACAGTCTATTGAATAATATAAGCAAAAGCCTTTGACAGAAAAACACACACACAGAATCATTGGAAATCACAATTGTTTGCACTACAACAGTTTAAAAGCTTGTAGTTTATTTAGAAGATAACCTTAAATGCTAAAGTTAGAGGGAGACAGTCATCAGAATGAGATCTTCCTCGACCCAAATATGAAAGTGTTTGTGGGGTGGTCGAATGTAAGAGGACACTGATGCGAAAGCGAATCACGTTTTCCTGCCGGGGGCGTCTTCAAGGAAAGCTGACAAAGTTGATTAACAAACAGCAGCCCGGTGGTCTGTTATTCACAGGCTGATTTAGGCAATCTAACCCTGAAATCTTCCACGCAAAAGACTTTTGCTACGTCAGGTTATTGTTATGTGTTTTAAACTGGTGTGTTAGGTTCTTTGGAAATCTCGTTCAAAGGCATCTGGCGTATAAAATGCGTGATTTTATGTTTGTTTCTGTTAGAGTAAATATGCATCATTTACAGTTTAAAATGAATCTTATTTTATCTTATACTGGGGGCTTGGTGGAAACCCCAGTTCATCCTTTGATGATAAAAGCCCGTCCTTTAAGCTAGCTTTCTTCTGATTGGCTGCCCCTCATAAACAAAATGTTTAATCAGCTGGTAGGTGAGCTGCTGTGCTCATAGCCAGAGCTGCTTGCCTGAGATGACCATGTTAGGGCATCCTCGCTTTATGACAGCATACCGAGCCAATAATGGAGAAAAACCAAACAAACTGAGTGTTTGGAGCTGTGTGAAGCCTGAGCTTGAAAGTACCACACACACTGTCAGGTTAGGTTGTACTCTGTCACGTTAAGGAGACACACAGAAATATAGCATGGGGCAAAAATCATGTGACATAATTTTGCACTACGTAGGAGCTGACAGCGGGGTATAAGAGTTTCTAGCAGAGTTTCCAGTCCATTTCAGGATTCAGTTGAATATTTTATTACTCGTTTTAAGAGTCTCAATGGTCTGACGCCCACTTAACTGAGCTTTTGAGACCCTACACTTCTATCAGAGCACTGAAGTCTACAAACCATCTGCTCTTGGATATTTCTAGATCCAGGCTTAAAAGCAGAGGCAATAGAACCTTTTCACTGTTGGTTCCTAATCTTTCTAACAACTTACCTTTTCACCTTTTCACAAAAGAGCTGCCTGCTCTTCCTATCATTTTCAAACACTTTTAAAAACCCATTTGTTCTTGCTTTGTACCCTGGCTTTTATTCTGCAAACAGTCTTGTGTACTTGTTTTATTAGATTTTTAGTGTGTACACATTGTACACACATTGTAGTGACTGTTAAGTATAGTGTATATTTTGTATAACCTGTACAGCACTGTAGCGTGTAGCATGTTAATGTGTTTCACTATACAAGTATTACACAGATAACTCAATGTTCCCTGAGTGACAGTAGTATTAATACCCTTTGAGGTACTCATTTAGATTGTACTTTGGATAAAAGCTACAAATTATAATTGGTGAAGTATATACTTTGGTTTTACTCAATAATATAATTCAGCTTTTAATAATATATTTTCCAGTTAGTGATATCTAAATTTGTTTTGAGATGGCATAACTGTCCTAGTACTCTAAAATCTTATATGACAAAGTACTTAATTGTTGCTAATTTTAACGTTTTAGTTGTGCTGTTGGAACCTAACACTTCTGTCCTTTATGAAAACGTTTGTTTCTTCCTCGCTTTATCTTTGTCCTTTTACCTCCCTTCAGCTGTCAGCATACGGTGCCGATCTTTCGTCTGAGGCTTGCAGGGAGCTGGGTTTCTCCAGCAACCTGCTGTGCAGTTCCTGTGACCTGCTCGGGGAGTTCAGCCTCGCCAAGCTCCAGCCTAATTGTCGGCAGTGCTGCCAGCAGGAGGCCCAGATGGACGGGCGCAAGGTAAAGAGAAAAACGGAGGGCTCACGGATCGGGTCGACAGAAAGCAACTGCCTGTCTAGATTAAGGCACAGCGTGGAGTGTGATACAAGGAGATTCAGAGTAGATGAAGTGTAACCACAACCAAGGTTAAAGAGCATATAGTGAAATTAAAAATTCACGTTTCTTAACTGTGGGGCTCTTGAGCTATGAATGGATGCTTAGTTTTAAAGAAGACATTTTGTTCTGTTCCTCAGTTGTTTGCAGAAGGGTTTACAGGACCTCTGTCGAAATGTGTCACGTTTACTGACAGGGTCATGTCCCTCAACACTCGAACTGCTACTAAAAACAGCCGCGCTTTATCCAGCCTTCCGGTTGACACTGTTTGCAGCTGTGCCACACACAGCTTGTTAATAGCTGTCCGTCTCAATCTTTCTCAGATGTTCAAAGTCGAGACTCCTTAACCTCAGCTCGAGGTCGGCGTGTCAGGTGTTACCCTGTCTGTAAGCAGTGAGGGCAAGTTACTGTATGCGCGCTGCCCCGGATATTACAGCTTGCTTGGGAGGACTCTCTGCTGTGCTCTGGCAGATAAACACTTAAGTGATGGTGGAAAAACAATGTAATTTTTCCCTGATTAAGCAGGGCCCCCAGTGCGTGTGTGTGTGTGTGTGCGGTATCCTAGCAACAGCACCTTGGAAATGTGCAGCACACACCTCATTACACCTCTTGATGATAACTGTGTGTCAGACAGACACTTAGAGCAGAGATTACTCCTCTTCGGCACTGGAGTGAAAATGTCACTTAGAAGAGCAGTTGCCCATCTCTCGCTGCACTCAGAGGTCTCCGATGGAAACGACAGCGTCACTAAGCACATTTTTATCCTCAGACGGCGACAATTATCTGCCTTAAGAATTCCTTTCAGCGTTTCAATTGCCATCAGCGCCGTATTGTTAAAGCTTTCGGCCAAATGGCTTACTGCACAGCCTGGTCGATTAGTAAGATTCACCGAGCACGGAGGGCATTTCGCTTACTCATCTTCGAATGTGCTCTTCTCTGCAGACCACCTGGGTGCAGCAGCACTTCAGCTCCTCTGGGTGTGAATGATGTATTACATCTCTGTAGAACAGCTAAACCTTTATGAGAGTGTCTCAGACCTCTGTGGTGCACAATTGATGATGGTAACACTGGAGGCCTTCGTTTCTTGACTTTAAAGTGGACTTGTGCTCGTTTCCAGCTCGATTTATTATTAAACTACACTTGACCACCTTTAGGAAATTCTCATTTCAAAATAATCCTCATTTATATACTGCTCAAAAAAGTAAAGGAACATTTTTTTTAAATCCCTGTATAGCATCAAGTCAGTTAAACTTCTGGGATATTGATCTGCTGTTAAGTTGCTGAGGGGGTTGTTAATCAGTTTCAGCTGCTTTGGTGTTAATGAAATTAAGAGACGGGCAGTTACTCTAGGAGGGCTGGACAGGATGGTTAAAGTCCTTACCCCAGCAGCAGGACAGCAGTCTGCTTCTTTGGGCAAAGAGGAACAGGATAAGCACTGCCAAAGCTCCAAAATGACCTCTAGAGTCAAACAACTAGAAACAGACTTCATGAGGCTGTGTAGTCAAATTGGGATTTGCCATAGAGTACCAGAACTAGCACTGGTGCCCGGTGCTTTTCACAGATGAGATCAGGTTCACCCTGAGCACATGTGAAAGACCTGAAAGGATCTGGAGAAGCCGTGGAGAAAATTTGGTGGTGGGTCAATGATGGTCTGGGGAGGTAAATCCATGGAGAGACGGGCAACAGCACCCTGACTGCCATTAGGTATCTGGATGAAATCCTTGTGCTCGTTGTCAGAACTTACGTTGGTGCAGTGGGTTCTGGATTACTCCTAATGCATGACAGTGCCTGACCTCATGTGGGGAAAGTATGCAGGCAGTTTCTGGAAGATGAAGGAACTGATACCACTGACCAGCCCCACACTCCCCTGATCTAAATCCGCCAAAACACCTCTTGGACGTTTTGTTTTGGTCTGACACCACTAAGTTGCTCCTCAGACTGCCCAGGAGCTCTTTGATGCCCTGGTCCAGATCTTGGAAGAGATTCCCCAGAACACCATCTATTGTCTCATTAGGAAGTTCCACATCATAGTTTCAGTTTGATTTTTGGGGTGTCTTTGAATCTAGCCCTCTGATTGCTGCATTTGATGGAAATGAAAACAAACACATTAGCCAGTCCATATCAGTATAGATATCCAGCAGTATTTGTTTTCTCATTCAGATCTGATGTTTTCAACTTTTAGCTTTAGTTTTTTTGAGAAGTGTATTTTACTGAGCCTCCCTGCAGCCCCTCAGATCATCATCGGTCTGAAACAAGCTATTTTAGCTGTTTTCTTCATTAAAAATACTTTACAATACATTGGCTGATTTTTGAACAAGATTCTTGTCGGCTGGTTACGTAGTGTTTGGGCCCCCACAAAAAAGCTTTTCTTTGCTGGACAAACGGCAAAATGTTCTGAGATCAGCGACTAACTGATTACTCAAAAAGAAGTGTTAGAATTATGATCAGGAATGGTCCTGATCACCGTGAAAAATATGGATTATACGTTGTCTGTATATTTCCTGTAAACTTCTAATTTAATCTGTTCAGATGAGATGAGATGATTTATATTGATCTATCAAAGCTGACCTCTAAGTCAGCTTATTTTGACAGGATAACCATTAGATTAAGACATGACAGAGGTAAAGTTAAGCTTTTAAAGTCTGATTCTTTATTTATTTATCCATTTTTAGCTTTGAAATCACTGATGGAGGGGGTGAGTAGTTAATTAACAACACTTTGAAATGTTAAAGTGCTGCACTAGGTCTGGATAAAGCAATCCATCATTAGTTTCCCGCTCCCAACCGAGTCGTGACTTTCCACCGATCTTCTGATCTGCCATGTGTGGTAAAATGAAAAGCTTGGAAATTTAATTTAAGCTGTGCCGATGGTTTACAGACACACAGAGGAGGACGGGGAGAGAACAGGAGAGGATCTTAGCCTTGCATGTGTAATTTAATTTGCTGTGCAAACCGGCCAACCAGGCCATTTACCACTCTCCTCCTTGAAAACAACACGCAGAGCGTGGCCTTGAAATACTGCTGTGACACTCCAATTTCCTCTAACTTATTGTGTGTTGGTGCCGGAGGTTTGATTACAAGTGAGCCCTGCACAAACCGCCATCCATCAGCCCCACTCCATATGCACAGGCTCACAGCTTAATGACCCCCAAGGAGTCGCCCGGACACATTTATGAATCAGTCTGCCTGAATCAAATTACTCCTTCGGGCAGACAGTCCATCCCCAGCGGAGCTTCGGTCCTCTCAGACTGTGTGCAGGCGTTTATGTGTTGGGAGGAAATCTCTCGGACTGCCTCACGGTGTGTTTCTCTCTGTGCAGCTCTACGCTGGAGCCATCCTCGAGGTGTGTGGATGAAAACTGGGGAGGTTCCCTCAAGTCCAAGGTGAGTCCTCAGTTGGGGCATCATTACTTGTTTTGGAACAACAGCTTTAACTGAAACTGATCTTCCTCCTCTGTGTGAGTCTGTTTTAATCAGTGGGAGGGACAACAGCACTAAAAAGCCAGCAGGACTGTTTTCAAACAGCCTTTTGAAGCATTTGTTTATCCTTTGTCTCTCCCACATGGAGACGTGTGGTTAAACCCGGTGTCAGGTTGCAGCGGTGTAGACGCTTCATCTCATGCGCGGGCAGACGTCTGGAGCCCCTCTTGTGCCATATGTCTGTCGTTTGCTTGCTTCAGCTGTGTCCCTCCTGTGTTTACAACAATCTCTTCTGCTGTTAAAAATCTATTTCGGGGATGTTTCGCAGTGGTCACTCATTCCAAACCTCTGAGCTAAAATATAAAGAGTTAACTGACTCATTTGTCTCTTTTTCCATTTCTCATCAGCTTTTGTTAGGAGTGAGAAGCCGAAGATGTTCAAGGGTCTTCAGATCAAGGTAGCCACGATGAATCGTGTTGCTAATGTACCAGCATTGTTTGCCACAGAAATTATTCTCAGGAGATGTAAACCAGATTATGCTAATCAAATGAGCCTTTCTCATTCTTCTCCCCGCAGTACGTCAGAGGCTCAGATCCTGTACTAAAGCTTTTGGATGACAACGGGAACATTGCTGAAGAACTCAGCATCCTCAAGTGGAACACAGACAGCGTGGAGGAGTTCCTGAGCGAAAAGTTGGACCGAATATAGACACGAGTTTTATTAGTTTTTTTTGTTTTTGTTTTTTATAATTTGGAAGACTCAGTTTCCCCAAATTACAAATAATGATTTATTCACTGCTTGTAGTTGAATCTAGCTGTGCAGATAGTCTCTCTGTGAGGTCTGTGCCTCCACCTTCAGGTGAGAGGGATTTTGTTTGTGGTGCTCTGACACATTCATACAAATAGCCATCCATAACTCGTCTGTGATCAGGCTGCTGCTGTAACAGGTGAACTCTTGCAGCTGTTAATCTGATTTCCCACGTTTTAGTCACCACAAATGAAATCTAGTTCATCTCCGTTTTATTAGCTCGTGGCAGAAAAACTCAGGAGACATGAAAAATTCATCAAAATCTCTCGCCGTGGTTGATTACTAGAGGCAAGTGACCAGATATGATTTGTATTTTGTGTGAACTGAGATGTCTTAGTTATTTACCAATTTGTACACAACTTGGCCTTGATAGATGGTTTCTGAATCTCTGATCTGTATGACTGTTTGTTTTTTGTTTTGTTTTTTTCTATCTGAAAATCACGAGTCATCTGGATTTCACCAAACTGCTCACGTGAGAGTGTTGAACAGGATGAGCTTCAGTTCAGTTTTACTCATTAAGTACTGATCACACATTTAGGTTTGAAACGACCTTGCACATAATGAACTGTATTGTCTGTATGTGGGACTTCCTGTTCCCGTCTGTTTGATATTCTTGTATCATTTTTAATTTTTTATTTTTTTTGTTTGAATAATGCTCAACATTGCGACTGATCACATTTGTCGTCGGAGTGAACAAATTCTAGGTCCTCTCCGAATGCAGATGTCTTTGCAGAGGCACACGTTAGTGAAGAGCTCACAGGAAACCAGTTTTGGGATGTGAGATCTGATGTAAATTTGTGTTTTTCTGCACCATCTGCTTTGAAGAGAAACTGGATTTGTTTTTGGAAAGTCCAGGTGATGGTCTAAATATGCAACAATAAACAGAGTCACTGATGATTTTTCTCTCCATGCTGTGTCCTTTCCATTAGACATTTCCATGCTAAGTCATTTGTAGTCACCAAACATCTGACTGTACTGTGGGTAAAGGTTTTAGATTCATAGGTATGACTTTACTGACATCTAGTGGTTATTTATGACATCACATCAGTCCTGTGATGCATTGCCATTTTAAAAAATGTATTTTATCTTTACAAATTTTGTTCTTATTGAATGGCCTTTTTTGTTATTATAAAACTGTAAAAACTTTTTTTTCAGCTGCTAGTTTGGATTTCAGTAGAGATGTTTCCATGTCAAAACCAAAAATAACGATACAGTTACAGAGCCATTAAAGCTCTTCGTACTGGACTGGATCCAGCTGTCTGATGGTGCTGATGGTTTTGACAGCAGAACCAGTTGAAGATGGGGCACCAGCACAATGTAGGTGGATTTCAGGCAGCCTGAGTCCAGATGCAGTAAGCTTCTAAGCGCTGTTAAAATGATATCTGTCTGGTTGCTTGTGTCAGCTTTAAACTTGCCTGACCTTATTACAGATCTCCCTTTACAACAACACATTTGTTTAGGAAACAGTGATACAGTGGCCTGATTTTACCAGGTCTACCTGTTCCTTGGACCTATCTGCAAAATATACAACATTAGTAAAAGTTTCTATACATACGTCATACTTTAAATACCTGCATGTATAGTCAGTAAATGCTTGGAGCGACCACAACCACTTGGTGCACATATATTAGGAATCACTGTTTTATTTTCAGACAGATAATGATTACACAAAACTCAAGTAAAAAAAGAAGTTTCAGTTACATGCAGCATCTGAGCATCACATAACCACTGTTATGTCCATGTAAAAATAATAATATAGCCAAAAACTCTTTCCTTGCACCTGCAGCTGCACAGATGTGAGACACTGCTAACTTCTATTATCAGAAAATAAAAATGTACAATTGAATGCGTATATGAAGCAAATGAAAATAAATCCCCTTATAAGGCAAACTGAATGTGTAAAGCTGGAAACACATTTCTATAGTAAAGTCAGACTACACGTGTTTACGCTGTGGCTGAGGTTACACATACTGGTGCTCTTTCTTGCCTCCCTCTGAGCGGTGGTCCATCACTTCAGTTTTGTTGTTGGACTGAGGTTTGTACACAACCCCTGGGTAACTGCAAAAGAAACAAATGGCAGGAAAAAATCTGCTGTGAAAATGTTTCTCATGTCCAGATAAAACTGCAGCAGAAAGTAATTTTAAACCAATCTTTGCATTTTTAAAAGGTTTGCACTCTCATTAGTTTCTGGCATTGTACATCTATGAGGGGACTTACCGTGGTTTCTCATTTTTTATCATCTCTCTGAAAGCGAGAGACTTCAGGATGCCACCAATGAGCAGGACACCCCCACCGATCCAGCCAACGAACAGTGCTGGGCCAAATGTGTAACTGGTAAAAAGAAGAAGAAGCAGAAAACAAAAAACATTACGTTGCACACACACTATAGGAATTATTTGGAGAAATAATTACATGCAAGCAAAACAGCATCATACGTGGTTATTCCTACTCCGCCCATTCCCATGTTCATCCCCTCTCCCATCATTTCTTGTGTGTAGGTGGACGTCCTGAAACTTTCCACAATTTGATTGGCATACACAGAAGCTCCTGCAATGCCACACACACCTGAGAGAAGGAGAAAAACAGGAGCTCTCAGCACTCTCAGCTTGGTCAAATACTGCTATAATGACTGCAGTGGATGCTCATATTAAACATGAGGTGTTTTAACTAATGAGGTGCAAATAATTCCTGTGGGCCCAGGCTTTAGACTGATCCAAACTGCATTCTGGGAGCCCATATCAGTTTATTTGACCATTAGATCAAATATACAGTCTGTGCTGTAAATTCCAGATGTCAGATGCAGTTAGCTAGAGCTTTAAGAATACTTCCTGCAGTTAAAGTTATCTCCTGGATATGATGAATGTCAATACTTCTTTACAAATACTGCAGTTTCATGAAAGAAATTATCATAGAAACTGTACAAATTAAAGTAAATACAACAAAAGCACGAGATTGTAGGTTGTATAGATCACATTAGTGTGAAAGAACCTCAGTAAAATTAAAGCATCACAACATTTGTGCAGCACTGTCCTGTAAAAATGCAAAATAAATTACAGCATGGTTCCTTTAAATGTTACAGCAACTTGCTGGCAACAGTGCTGCATGTATTTTACTTACTCTTACAGTGTAGCTCAGTATGGTGTCAGTGGATGGTTTTATCTAAAATCAGCCAGGTCTGAGGAAAGTTTACAACCGACCCATTCAGAATCTGCTACATTTGGTGGTCCCGTAACTTTAACATAATCTAATGAAAGTGTACAAAATTTTAACTTCAGTTCACATATTACAGGCCCTCAAAGTATTTCAGGGTGGGTAGAACTTGGCTCTTTTTAGGTAGCATAAATTTTTTCAGTATTTTTGAGCCCTCATAACTTCATAAATACACCACATGAATATTTCATGGTTGAAAAAAAATCAATAACAAAAACCATTTAAACTCTATTGAAAACTGAAACCGAATGAAAAAATGTAATTTGGGTAAACTTCAAGGGTGGTTTCTACAAGTTATCTCATATGAAAGAGCTCCGTTTGACCTTTTTACCTGTTCAGGCCAGTCTCAGCTTCAAGTTGCAATTACTTCTATGTCAAAATTGTTTTCTGTAACAATGATTTTAAGCCATTTACAATGGATGTCCCTAATTGTATGACTTTCAGCACAGAGGCCCCGCCCACCTGCCTGTTTGTGAGGGGCATCCAATCGGGTTTTGCAATGTGCAAGATTAAAAAAAAAAGATGATTTTGAACCATTGGTCATACAAAGATACTCTGGGGGTGTCCAATAATGGAACCCCCCCCCCCCTAAAAAAAGAAACAAAAACTATTCAGTTTAGTTTGTACTAGAAAGTTGAGAAAAAGCTTCATTTGAACTTCACAGAGGTAAATAATGACCTGCGATGACGAACATGATGCCAGCAGTGAGGCTCATCTTAGCCTTTGCGCTGTCTGCCATCTTGTTCATTGTGAGGCAGCTCAGGGAAAAGACTGATATCAGCATCCCGAGCACGCTCAGCACCACACCCACTATCATCAGAGCTCGCACCGCCTGGAAGGTACCTGGTGGACAGAAAACACGGAGACCTTAGCGCGTTACATTGACTCCAGTCAACCTAAGACCACTGATGAGTTCAGTTCAAGTATTATTACGTCAAAAACTGTAGATGGCTTCACAAAAAACACTCAAGGCTTCTATCTGACAGGTAGGCTTTTATACTCAAATGACTAATTCTTCAAATACAATGTGTCTAAAGATTTGAAGTGTGTTCTCTTGCAGTAGATGTGCTGTTGGGAGGTGCCTTTGCTTGTTGTTTGTTCTGCTTTCTGATAACCGAGTCTCGGCCTGGCCTTTATGATAGAAGTGCTAATGCAAACACTAATAGGTGCAGGCCCAACCCTCACAAAAACGAAGGGTTTGATCTCTTTCGGTGACACTTTTTTTGTTTTGTCTTAACTTCCTCTTTACTTAGTTTGAAACGTATCTACATCCTACACGACAGTCCAAGACTTCTACAGACACTTTTTAAAAGTCAGGTTCATGGCTGATGAACATGGTGAGGTTTTCACCCTATTATTACCAGTGAGGCATTTCACTTCTCAGCACTTTTCCTTTTTTATTTTTCATTTTTGTCCTCACTTCAGTTTTAGTTGGTTTCCAGTTTGGATTTGCTTTTTAAAATGATCATTATTTGTTTGTTTATCTGTATGTGTATTTTTTTTATTTTAATACTCAGGGTCTTTGTTAAAAGAAAATTTCAAATAAATGTAAAAATAAGTTTTTACAGACATGATAATATACCTGTAGATATGTGAGGCAGGTTTATCAAGTTTTTATGTTGACCAAAATGAGTTTCCGAAGTGCAAAACATATTTATTTCCCTACAAGTTCTTCAACCTAATAATTATATTTTACTTTGTAAAGAGTTCAGGGAGGTTTCTAAGTGAGGATGTTAACCAGCCAATGTTGTTCACTTAATTATTTTACAGTTTTTTTTGTTTGTTTTTGGTTTTCTTTTTACAAATTTGTTGAATGAAACAACCTCCTCCTGGGACATTTGAGAGGAAGCATATGTTGGATCTCGACATACGGCCTCGTCCTGAACGTCTACTGAGCACTCAAGACATTTTAAAATAACCAAATTACAGAATTGCTTCTATGATCAGCCCAAATGTAACATCTCCTTTTAGAGCAGAGACGGAAGAGTGTTCATTTCCTTGTTAAGAAAAACTCCTGCGGCTGTGGCCTGGTCAGTGAGGGAAAAATAATTCCCAGCCTGAATATGTTCAGTGTTTAAGACAACAATGATTTAGACTAATTTGAAAGCAAACAGTCAGTCACCGGATAGGATGTGAAAATTAAGGCTTGAGAGAGCCTCGCCATACCTGAGTAACCCAGAAGGCCGTAGAGCGGGCGGCACTCTGTGAGTCCGGCGGAGGTCGTCTCACAGTCTTGCCACAGACCCTTGTAGGTATAAACGGAGGTCACGACCTGCTCCTGCCTGTCCTTCACGCTCCAGTTGTTCATGGCTGTGGCTGCAATGAGGGCAGCTGCACCGATGAGACCCAAGATGAATCCACCATTTTGCAGAACTGAAGGCGCCATCGTTGTGTGGTGGTTCGGAAGCTGGAAAATATACACCTCGGAGATGCAGTGCGTGTGTGTAGATTAATAGATACTACTTAAAGTATAGCTGGACGTATAACTGAGTGTAGATTAAGGTGTCACAGGTGTGCCGCGTGATGCAGAGAATCAAAAAGTGCAAAGAGGTGCTTTGTAGTCATGGTGGTAGTGTGGTGGGTGGAGGAGACTGGGTGTTACCCCTGGGTGATACGGCAGCATGGGTTGGGCTACCAAGTGGTGTGAACGCAGTGGCGATAGGAACACCTGACACCTCTATGAGTGTTTTAATGTAAATACGAGAAAGAACGTTACTATTCCTGCGAATTACAAACTGTTTGTCAGTCTAGAGTCGTTAGTAACACCCTCACACTAGAAAAAAGTCCGGAAAAACAAGGTACAGATACACACAGGTGAGCGGGAACCGATCAGGGTGGCCAAAGCTCACCATCAGCTACACAGGAGGACTTAAGAAGTTTAAGAAGATTGCAGGCTCTCCTCTCTCTTGAGCTGCAGTGTCCCTGCTAAAAGTACAGTGAGGAATATTTGATGCATTTCTACTGTGTAATGCTGAACAAACGCACATTTAGACAATAAAGGACACCTTGTTTTTTTCCATTTACACTTCCAAATACAAGAGATTTGCTTGCTGAGCTTTTGTACATGAAGACCAGAGCTCACTGTGAGTTCTCTTTCTTGTATATTGTAGACGTGAAACAAGCTGGTACCTCATACAGTTTCCGTGATTCTGCTTATCACTTGGTCAACAAACGGGAGAGGAGATAAGTTCCTATTATTCGCTTATCATCATCACCCTGGCTCACTTTTGCTTAAACACACACACACTTACACACACAGAGTCATGCAGTAGTCAAACATGACTGGACTGGAAAATGTAATTTTGTAATGTTTGCAATGTTTGTCAGTTGCTGTGAAGTGTCTGTGGTGTTTTAGTATCTGTTTGTCTTTAGTGTAAGTCTGTAAAACAGCTTTTCGGGAGATGGGTGGTTAGAGCTTAACACAATCGCAACAGTGAAGTAATTATTACAGCTCATGTGTGATGTAAAATATGATTAACAGGGTTGTGAATCACCCCCAGTGACTACAACTACCAGCTTCTGCTTAATATTATTCATCAAACAGAAACTGACCAACTGCTTTACCTGGTTTAACACAGTCTTAATGCAGTTCTAAAAATACATATATAGACAGTCCCTCTGAAAACATTTATTATTGCCAATTCAGAGTACAAATCAATCAATCAAACAAAAACAGTCCCACTTAATGATGCAGATATTCTGTGGAATAACTGTCCAAGTGTGAGAACTAATGAAAAATACAAAACCTGACTGTTTTGGAAAGGGGGGAAGGGACAAGTCTATAACTTCAGCATGTTGGTCCTATGTTATGCATGTCCACTGTATTTAAACTGAAATGATTTTTCTTACAAAAGAGTAACAAATTAGCATCATCACCACCCTCCCCCTTCTCTAAATACTTTTTTTTACTCTATTTACATGGAATAAGGAGTGATACAGGGACTTTTATAGCTTTTTTTTAATCAATCCGTGATTGAAATATCTGCGCTGACACTTTAATATTTAAATGTGGTCATCTAAGCCTCAGTCTCTAAACGACCTCTTCTTCTTTCTGTGCGCAAACTTTCCCCCTCCTGCCCATGCGTCTTTATGTGTATCCAGCCTGTCACACACTGGAGCTGGGTGAAGCGTACGAGTCCATGCCGCTCTTGGTCATCCCTCCAGGAAAGAGGATATATGCCACCTGGGGTTGTAAACTAGCTGCAGACCAGGCGCCACAGTTACACGGCATCATGTATCCCGGGCCGGAAGGCGATGGGTGAGTGTGGGTGTGCTGTGCGGGGCAGGGCAGACCCCCAAACCCTCCAGTCTGGTATCCAAAGGTGTGCGCGCTGTAGGGCACGGCGCCTGCGGTCAGAGAGTGCGGTATCTCCGCCATCCGCTGGACAGCTCCGGTGCTGAAATGTGCCACCGGCTCCAGGAGAGAGAATGAGGAAGCAGCGGAGGCGGGAGCCAGGAGAGCTCTGGCTTTATCCCCGGGGACGAGAAAAGAGTCGATGGAAAATCCTTTCAAGTGTTCCGCTGCGTCCCCGAGTAAAGACGGCAACGGGAAAACGAACCGGTCCCTCTTCAGGAGACTCTTAGGTTTGCGCCGGGGTCTGTACTTGTAATCCGGGTGCTCCTTCATGTGCTGAGCCCGCAGTCTCTTGGCCTCGTCGATGTAGGGACGCTTCTCAGAGTCAGAGAGCATTTTCCACTCCGCTCCGAGTCTCTTGCTGATTTCAGAGTTGTGCATCTTCGGGTTTTCCCGGGCCATCTTCCTCCTCTGACCTCTGGACCAAACCATGAAGGCGTTCATAGGTCTCTTGATGTGATCTAAAGGTTTTGCCATCGCAGGGACAGACGCATTAATTAAAACACCTACTGACCGCACTTTAAATTCACCTACTCCTTCAAAAAGCTCATGTTTCTCTAGTGAGTAAAATGGAAAAAGTGCGAAGAACTCTCGGGAGTAGCCAGAGAAATATTTTAAGCTAACACTAAGTCCAAATTGACTGAAGCGTTTACACAAAGTGGAGCTGAAAACTACATAAAGCCAAAAGCCTGGGCGTATGAATGGAACCAAGAGGAAGCTTGTTATGGAAGATGCTGGGCATGTCATCCTCCTCATCATCACACCACTGTCACGGCGGGCCAAGCCAATGGGAATGAGAGAGCGCACTGTAATCCTCTCACAAAAAAACTGACTGTGAAGGCCTACAACATTTGAGGGGCACCCCCTCTTCTCCCTCTCCAACAGTTTTTAGTCTCTTCAAATCTCAACTGAGAGAAGCAGGGATGAAAACCAGCGAAGAAGCTGGACTGCAGAAAACTAGAAACTAAAAGGATTTGTATGAGGGGGTTGAAAGGTGCGGCTGCTTGTGGCCCTGAATGCCTCATTTGCACAATAATAATCTTCATTTCAAAGGAAGTCAGCTACCCTTATCATATTTTATTTTATTTTATTTTATTTTATTTTATTTTATTTTATTTTATTTTATTTTATTTTGACAGGTTTTCTGAAACTGTGCCACAGTTAGCACCACAGTTGTTCTTGGCTACAGTGTTTTCTTTTTCTACTCTTAGTTCTGTTTTAAATTTTGTGCTGTCCATTCAAAGTATTCTTGCATACCTCTTTTGTTAATCCACGTTGAACCAGCTCCTATTGTTTTTAAATGCAGTGGTTTTAGACACTGTGTTTAAAAAAATCCCAAAAGCCCAAAAAGCCCAAAAAATCCAACTGCAACGTGTTAATTCCCCTCAAATTGCAAAAACTTTCAGATTCCCCTCCAACACGGCTCTTGAAATATGGCCCTGCGTTAAACTAAATTAAATGGGAATGCCTGCAGGTCTTGGCTGGTGGGCCAAACCCCAACAAGCCCTTGCATAATAAGCTGACATCTTTAAAATGCTTCCACTGGCTTTAGTGAGGAAGGACCATTTCCAAACAGGTGATGATCAGCCTGAGATGACTCGAGAAAAATAAGTGCTATTTCATTAGTATGCCTTAAAGATTTCCCCATATTCAGCTTGGCTGACTGTCTTTAGAAAGAAACTTGTCGGCAAGGGTCTTTGCTTCTTTGCCTCAACATCTTACTTTTGCATGCCATGGTTGTAAAACTGACAATGATTCAGACCTCAGTCCGATCTTAACAAAACGCTCCCAAACTCTCACCCTCCCTTTTTCCTGCAGTTTTCCCACTTTGCGATGCCACCCACCGTGGCCCGATCTCTGTTCTCTCCAAACTCGCTGCCACATTTGCCGCAAAATCAGTTTTTACTCTTACCTTTTACATCGCTCATTTGAATTCTGTCCAATGACACAATGCAGGTTTATTATATATCAATATGTGCGTGAGTGGCTCACCCCTCCCTCCTTCGTACTCTGTGGGATCAATATTAATCAGAGCTGTAATTCACAGGTCCTGGGTGACTCCATTGATTGTTACAGGTTTTATCATTACTATACCTTATCTGATCAAATGTATGCTTCAGCTTTCTCATCTGTTATTGAAATGACATTGGTAGAAACTGAGCAGCAACTTAACTATGAATTATATGTAGTTTATGTGCATATAATTGATTATTGCCTAATATAAAAGGTAACCCTAATGGTTTAATGTATAGACAGTGTTGGGGAGTAACGGAATACATGTACCGCCGTTACGTATTTAAAATACAAAATATGAGTAACTGTATTCCGTTACAGTTACCGTTTAAAAAGGTGG